CAAGTATCCTTGTCATCTAACATAATCTTTTAATGCAAGAATTATAGAGCCAATTCTCTAGTTATCTTCAATAAATTAATTGAAGATTTTTGAAAAATATTCTTCTTTCTTTTCTCTCATGTGCCACCATGGAATTTCAAATCTGGGACCTTATAGGTGCCATTTAAGCACCTTATCATCCATCCACCTTTATAAGCCCTAAGTCGCCACTTGATGTCTAAAGCCTCAATTCTTTCTCTTATAAGCTTGTTGCCCAACCTCTTCTCCTTCTTTAAATCTCTATTTTTCACAAACTATGATTTTTTTATGAAAATTTATATGCCTATTTATAAACCTATTAAAAATACATATTCCAGATTTTACATTAAATAGATACTTTAATAATTAATTATCTTAGAACCTATTTTTTGTACAAACTTAGTTTTTTATTTTTGAAAACTACAATACTTCTTACTAATAGGATAATATTCTAAATATATCTTTATTAATCTTTATAATAATTAATTAATTAGTTAATTAATTTTAATTACTAATCATTTTTTAAAATATTTTATTTAATAAAAAAAATATAAACCTAAAAATAATATATTTCATAGTTCTTATTTAGTTTTTATATATTGTTTGCAAATATGACAAGACAATGGTATCACATATGTGTAAAAAATATAATATGAAACCAAATCTAGATAAGGTTAATGCTACATCTAAAATTAAAGCATGCAATAGTGTTACTAAAGTTAGAAGATTTTTAGGTGCATATGTGTTCTATTATGTTTGGATGCCTTATTTTGTCTACATTTCAAAACCACTATATTAATTATTAAAAAATGATAAAAAAAAATTATTTGAAAAGAGAAACATGAAGAAGTTATAGAAAATTTGAAGAATATTTTAACTTCACCTTCTGTCTTTAGACAAGTAGATTATCAATGTGAACGGCCAATAGTAGTGATGGTGGATATTATTCCAATAACAATTGGATGGACTATTGGACAAAATGATCAAGAAAGGATGACGTTTATTAAAAAATTTGGAGCCAAAATTCTAACACATAGACAAAAGGCCTATCCACAAGTTAAGTGTGAATTTCGAGGAACACCTATGGCTTTAAGTATAAGAAGAATTATTTAATTGGAACTAATGTGATTTTAAAAAAAAATATTTTTTTCTACTTAACATGGTAAGTAATTGTTCTTTTCTAAATATTGCTATGTTGAATTGGATAGCTTACATCTGGACATTAAGTCTAATTTTGAAACACATCATTTGTAAAGATATTTGGTGGGAGAAATGTTATTTAGAACTATATATATTGATGAAAAAGAAATAATGGCTCATGAAGATGGAAAAGATGGAAATAAAAAGATATTTGGATATTCATTTGTTTTAAAAGAAATAAGTCCTAAAGATAGAATTCAAGTCTTTTACAAAAATTTATATGAAAGGAGGCTTAAATATATTGGGATTTATTTGAGCACAATAAAAAGACAAGAAGATTTTATAAATAAGATTTTAAAGGATATTTGACATCAATCTTATGGCTATCTTTTTAAAGATAGATATTTGTGGAAGAGATCAAAGAAGGATGATAAGTTTTCATTGTGGGTGGTAGGAGATCTAATGGCTAAAAACAATGCTTTAGAAGAATTTTATGACATACTTTGGACTTGGCATAAAGGAATTTGAACCACTTATACCAAAATCAAGGAAATATATTGGTGGAAAGAACTATTTAAAGATATAAAAGATTTTGTAGGCTTTTGTATAGATTGCCAAGTACAATCGAAGATTAAATATAGGAATAGACTTCAACCTATCTATCTCCCTTCTATACATTTCCAATGAGTGATTGATTTGATAGCTATGCCATTTGGACTTTGGAGTATGAAATATTTGGTTGTAGTAAAGAAAGAAACATCAAATTTTATTGAAGGAAAGATTTTAAGGACCAAATCTATAGAAGAAGTATATCAATTTATATTAAAAGACATCTTTAGCTAGTACAAAAGCATTGAAAAGATGAGAGAAAATCAAGAAAAACTAGATGCATTAGAATCAAGGAAATTCTTTAGGAAATATGGAGTTCAATTAAAATTGACTTCTTCTTATAATCTAAAAATCAATAGTAAAAGTAAAAGAGGCCATCTTCTTATTATTAATGCATTGATAAAAGCTTGTAAATGTAAGTCAATGTAATGGCCAAAATTACTTCTATTTTCTTTGTGGATTGATATGACTACTTATAATACGGTGATTAATTACATGTCCATTGAATAGATGCTAGAGAAAAAACCAATGATGCCATCTAAAGAATCTTATCTTATATAGACTTAATCATGAAAATATGGAATTAATAAAAAAAAAAAAAAAAACCTATTAAAACTTTGAATTCAACAACTAAAGAGGCTATCAAAAGATTTGAAAGTAACAACAAAGAGATTAAAAATTGCTTAAATGAACTTACTTATGAAAAGATGGAATTAATAGAAAAAGCCTATTGGAACTTCGAATTCAAGAATTAAGGAGGCTATTACAAGATTTGAAAGTAGCAACAAAGAGATTAAAAGTAGCTTGGATGAAGAAGAAAGAAAGATTTGACATGACACACTAATTAAGATCTAAATCTATAGAAGTTGGAGACTGGATTTAAATTTATAATAGTAGCTTGTTCCATCAACATAGTACATCAAAGAAATTTGCAAAGAAATGGTTTAGACCTTACGCGGTAACCATAGTCCATAAAAATGCCACTTATTTTTTATTTGAGTTAGATGGAACTATTATAAAAAATTTAGTGATACACAAGTGAGTGAAGGTTTATAAACAAAGAAATACAATATTCAACAAAAAAATAATATTGGCTCTTTATAATAATAAGAAGAAGAAAATCAAGAAGATAAAGAATTCAAAGCAATATTGATAGAATGTAAAGAAAGTAAGGAAGACTAATGGCACATAACAAAGGATGTGCAAGATTAGAGGAAGTAGATGTTGTGTTGTATTTGTATATGATACATAAAAACTAGATAAGAACTATGAAATATTTAAGTTTCGAGTTTCTGTTTTTTTTTATTGAATAAAAAATATAAAATAAAATAATGAAGAAATAAAAAATAAATAAAAAATTAAATTTTAGATTAAAATAAAGATTAATAAAAATATATTTAGAATATTATATATATATATATATATATATAAGAGTGAATCCTATTAATTGGAAATAATATTTTAATTATTAGAATAAACTAAATTTATAAAAGAAAAAATAAGATTTAAGATAACTAATTATTAGAACATCTATTTAATATAAATTTTGGTAGACATGTTTTAAGTAGGTTTATAAATAGGTGTGCAAATTTTTGTAGAAAAAAAATTATAATTTATAAGAAATAAAAATTTAAAGAAGGAAAAGAAGTTAGACAACAAGCTTAAAGAGAAAAGAATTGAGGTTTTGGATATTAAGTAGCAATTTGGAGCTTGCAGAGGTGGATGGATAATAAAGTATTTCATTGACACCTACAAGGTCGTGAGTTTAAAATCACATGGTAATACATAGTAGCACAAAGAAAAAAGAAATATCTTCCAAAAAATTATAATTTATTTATTAAAGATATCTAGAGAGTTAGCCTTGCAATGCTTGCATTAGGAGATTATATTAGGTGACAAGGGCACTTGTTGCTTAGAGATAAAAGTGAGAAATATCCTTTAATAATAGCATGACGTGTGAATCAACACCTTCTATATATTTGTCTTCTTGGTAGATAGGTATATAACTTCCCCTAAAAAACTAGTAGCCATAAGTTGGTAGTGGCTAAAGAGAGATGGCAACAATCTTCTACAATAATCAATCCAACTTTTTTTGTTTTAAGAATGTAAACTTCAAAAAAAAAAATAAAAAAAAAAAATAAGATTTAGAGTGTGGGACTAAGAATAAGGGTTTGGTATTAGACTTTGAGGTTTCAAGTTTTGAAGGAAGCAACCCTCTTAAGGTTAGAAATAAATGGCTCTCCAAAGAGTATTTTGTTCTCTTGTATTTTTGATTTGAAAATGATTAATGGAGGGATTTGTTACCAATACAAGGAGTACTGAAATTTACTAAGGAAAGGTTTGTATTTAATTGTTTTATGAATGTCTTAAAGTTTTACAAGAAAATAGGGCAATTAATAGCAACTAGAACCCCGTGTTTTTTCATGACAAACTCTCTCTCTACTGCAATGGTGCCAACACTACCTGAGCGCACTGATTCTTGTTGAAATGCCGTATCCCTCAGCCGAGCATGTGCATGAAGAGCATACCAAACCTGCCTAATCCATAAAAATCCAAGCATCAAGTTCCTATCGTAAGTCCACGAACTAAAATTCGACCTTGCTCCCGACCACCCTTCTCTGGATCTAATTCTGAATAGGCTCAGTCAGAGTGGTCTGGGATTCTTAATTTCTCACTACATTCACTCCGAACATCTGCCGTGCAACATGAACTTACACTATCCTCAACGCTCTCTAAAGTCATAGTACACAGCAGTGGTTGAGGCTGATTACTCAACAAATACTTGCCACTCAAAAGATTCTGCAAGACCTTCATGAATTCCAATATTCTCTTCAGGTCACTAAGTGCCTGCATTCTTGCAGGTGCAACTGTGCAGAGACGACCAAGATTTGTCGAAAATTTATGTCAATCTATCAAGGACAAGAGTACCTCCTGATCGGGGGTGGGCTCGTTGGCGCACTTGCTGGTGACAGTGGCAGAACTTGCTGCCTTCCAGATCCTCTTGGGTTCAGCCAAGGAAATCATTCTTCATCGAATCCTCCACGGTGACCAAATAAATAAAGAGACCAGACGTGTGATGAATATAGAATGGAGTCTTTATATAGAACGAAATTGCAACTTCGTCGAGATACAAACACAGTTGCAGACGACACAGGCAAGGAAAACCATTATCTGCCAATCCAGGGAAACGTAGTACTTCGAGGAAGAAAGACTCGCACATGATGGCTGTACTCTGATGCCAATGTCATCAATGGACCCTGCATCATTACCATTAAGTCTTACATATGCAGTAAAGTACTCGGTATATCTTGAATATAAACAAAGTGGACGGTCCTGTACATATTGGTATATAGGTTTTTTCACAGGTTAGAAATAGTTTCTGGATGGACGGAAGGAGTGTGATCAATTTCGTACACCTGCACTGAATCATTGATACATTCCATGAAAGAAGGTAGCGAAATTGACCTTCAAAGAATGAACTAGCTAAGAGGGATATAAACTAAATTGGCACTAACTCCAGCCTCCCTATTGCTGTTTTACACCCGTGCTATCAAACACCTTGTCATGTTTCTCGAGACTTCCAGGAAGATCCAACATTCTTCTGAAACCGATGACCTCCAACGCGGTTCCACCACCCTGTCCACCCTCTCTTTCGACCTGACCAAGGCCTCGTCGCACATTTATAACCTCCCCTGTATCCCTCACACGCATGTTGGTGCCAATAAACCCGCTACTTGCTAGGCCAGAGCCTCCATCTTTCATTCTGTCCTTTAAATGTCCAGAGTTGATCGCATTAGCATCACCTTCTCCATTGAGCCTCAAAAGATCTTGTTCATAAATTCTTTCTGAGTCACTTCTACCAGTCAAACTGGTATTGCCTTCTACCTCTTTGTCTCTTCCGTTTCGATCTGAACCATTAGGGCCCTCTGAATTCCCCTCATTGACAACGGCTGTGATGGATGCTACGAACCCTTGATCTCCACCAAACGCCCCACTATTGACTTGATTGAACTCAGTCTTGTAAGTGAAATACTGATGACAATCAAGACATTCATACCTAGGCTGCTTCATGTTCTTGTTGTTGAAGTACTTGAACCTCGTTTTAGTCTTTTTACACGATGGACATGGCTTTACAACCCCGACAAGGTGCTCCGGCTCCATTGCTTTTCTTTTCCTCTCCGTTTGCTTTGCAACCCGTGGGCCACAGATCAACAAGGCTGACTCAAGAGGAACAGATGCGCTTTCCACTGAGGTAGTTTCTTTTGATAGATCAGACAGTAGGGCGGCAGTGTTGACATCACCAGAGCTAGAAGGTCGCACACGCTTATTGTGTAACTGAAACATGCCCTTACAATCCAAGCACTTGTACCGAGGCTGGTCCAGCTGGCCATTGTTGAGATACTTGAATGCGGTATTTTTGGAGCCACACTTGCGACAGAGCTTTTCCATGCCCGCAAACTGTGGAGGTTCCTTAGCCTTCCTTTTTCTTTCTTTTCCTTTGCCATCCAGTGATTGAATGGGCAAAATGTTAAAAGAGCCGTCCGGGAGCATCAGCTGGACAGATGCAGATGGTGATGCTGCTTCTGTCGCCAACTTCTTGCCCCCATGAGTGAAAAAGTCCTTGCAGCTCAGACATTGGTACCGTGGCTGGTTTAACTTTTTGTTATTGAAATACTTGAACTTCACTTCTTTGGAATTGCACCTTGGACACTCTTTTGGAATCCCAACAAGTTCTTTGGGCTCAACCGCGACCTTCTGCCTCCTCCTTGGAGTACCGTCTTCATGATACTCCTGAGGCAAAACGGTGTTGGATTTCAAATCAGCCATGTTGACAATGGCATGGGCAGTCTCAAGCAATTCTTCGTTAGCAGAGCCAGGTCTCTGCATATCATCCACATTACTGTGGCCTGCTCCACTTTCAATCTCCAAGAATTGATGATCTGATTGTAGCATATAGTCAGCAAGCCTGGTTGACTCATAAACGTCACTACAGCTCCTGTGGCCATCAGATAGAGATAAAAAATTAGTATGCAAACTTTTGGCACCACACCCGCCACCTGCACTTGGAGACTTTCTTATCTCTATATACAACGTCTTCTCCCCAGGTTCTTCCAAAATCGCTTTTAAGTCAGCAGATTTAGAATGTAGACTACTAGGTGAGGCCCTGTAACAGAGATTCCGAATCTCGTCTTCCTCTCCCAACGCAGTCTTGAGCTCCAGCTTCGTGTCAGCATCATCCAAGCGACTTGAAGTGCCAAAGTGAAGCGTGTTCTTCAGAGACTTTAACTCCACGTGCATCTGTGCGTCACTGTCTAAGCTTGACAGGAGGGTATACAGTAAGGCCTTGGAAGACTCGGCTCGGTTAGTCATTGTGTCCAACTAGAAATCAATCGCGGTTATGTCGCAGAATATTCTCACACCTGCTTCAAGAACCCTGCCGAGGAAAAAAAATTGAAGTAAGAAACTTTTTACTGAAAAGCAATAGCTATGTTCCGAATTAGCAAGGAGTAAAATTTTAAAGGACTTCGAAAGACTGTAGAGAAACGGACATGAAGTTCATGTACTCTGTGACAGGAGAGTTTCATGTTCAGAAGCAGAACTAATCTTAGCCGCGGTCATGGTCTGCATCTTGACGAAGAAAGCTTCCTAGAACTGCTACGATGGAAATTTCTCTTCTACTCTCCCACCCTTGAAGACAGAGCAGACAGTAGAGCCCGAAGCTTTGTATGATAAAAACTAGTGCCACACAATTTGCCATCAAAGGAAACAGACATGACTACTTGCGATCCAAGACAACCAGGTAGACCCGCTTCGTCGCCGCTATTTACAGCACGAAGGCATGACTCTATAAATTTCTTAAATGACGTGCACGAAGAGCCTATTCTGGACGTCAGATACGACTGTCCCCGAACATAAGCCTGTAAACATCAGTTTTCAAGACTAACCCGAAGACGCTCGACATTCAACTGAAAGCAAAAGTTGAACCAGCATTAATACCGGGCGAATCCGAAATTATTCTAAAGCTCAGACTTACGAAATAGCTGCACCTCGCCGTTTTGAGTACTCTCTACAGCAGGCTCCCGCTATTCTCCGCAGCGATCGCTAGAGCAATGCTTGAAATGCAGATATTATGGTTCCCATGCACACACTTCTAATACCTCTGACTATCTGCCAGCAAGTAAAATCTAGACTGTAGTCCAATCTGTATAAATTCAAAACTCTTTCCCCTAAAAACCAAAGTAAAGTATTATCCTTGGCATCTAATCAGGCAGTATGCTCCCAAAGGTTTCAAGCTCCTCGAACTTCACAAAGCGAAAAGTTATGTCCAGTAAAGAGCATGCACTGTCACAACACTCCAAAATGCGTCATGTTCTCTGTTTATGTATCGTACACGCTTCTCACCAAGCCCTGCTCCCATCGAATGATTCCTCAGTTCTGTAACCTTCTTTGCCACAGATTAATAACGTACAACTCATATACTTCCAAAGTAGAGACATTGCGCTCGTTGTGATTACTGTTCGGATCACGGGCTTAACCATTAACAATTTGTAGCAGTTTGTCCGTCTTTACGACTACTTTTTAAAAATTCTCTACCACTCTCTACTGAGCATGCTCCAAGTTGCGATGATAGACATCAACTGAATCTCGCGCCTGCATCTATTACATCTTCAGCGGGATTTCGAATTTTCACAGTTCAAGACGAACAATAAGTTTGCAACTGTGAGGCCCATCATAAACGCATACAGAAAAGCTTTCCTCCAAAATACTTGAAATCCGCACATCGGAATAAAATGACGTACCCTTATTCAGAAACATTTCCTTCTGCGAAGACATGAAACACAGTCTATATTCCAAGTTCACTGAAACGTGAGCCACGGACGTCTACGGAGCAGATGAAACTAGAAAGCTAAAAGAATAAAGAGAGAGAGGGGGAGAGAAGAAAATAAAAAAAAGTTCTTGTAAGTTTGCAATCAGCTTCAAACTGCAGCCGTACAAAAGTTTGAACCGAAGCTAGTCCTGAAACGATTTGTCCAAGAACAGTCAAGACCTACAGACCCGCGAAAACACTGATTAAAATCTTGTCGAAGGAAGTAGAAAACCTTCCGTGAGTTTACGGGATACGCGTTCGTTTTAGGGGAAAAGTAAGAAATTGAGATTGATCCACTACAAGGACGCACTTGCTTCGAAGTCCGACTTATTGCCGCTAGAAATTCAAGTGATTACAACATTTTTTCGTATTTCCATCGTAAACTTTAGAAGTTCGCTTATTTTTTAGTTTTTTTTTAGTTTAGTTTCTTTTTTCTTTTTTTCCTTCGTAGTAATTGTCCATTTCACGACATCTCAACAGAGAGGAAGTAGAGACGAACATGTACCTTTGAACGACGAACTTGGCGTCCTCCACCGCTGCCTATTCCACCTCCACATCCCCGAATTCTCGTGCAAAAGAAAACTGCGCAACAACGAAGGCAATCCGCACGACAAATGCATAAGCAATCTTCTTCAGCAAGTCACAACATAGCGCTTCCTGCGATTTCAAATAACAATCCTCCTAATTCGTACCCTTCGTGGCATCAAAACGGCCAACTGAAAGACCACCACCTTCCTTCTCATGCCCCATGATAAATCCATAATCGCCATGTTCCGCCCTCATCAAATGGACTCATCATGGAAGAACCAAGAACTTTAGAAAAACCAAAAATAAAAATCGACTTCCTAGAGTTATTTCGGAAATTTCAGGACACAGAAAGCGAGAGCGCGACGTACACTACGACGAGACGCCATAGCCGAGGCCATTTCCCACTACCATAGCCAGCGCGATTGAAGCAGCGGAGCTGCTGAAGAAACCCTAGGCTCGGATTTGGGTAGGAAAGCGCTGCGCTGCGAGAAAAAGGCCTTAGAAAGGTACCGTGTTGGTCTCGCCTACTTTTTAGACCCCAAAAGTAACGGCTCCGATTCAATTTCACTTTTCTCTTCTGACTTTCCATTTTTATTTATTTTCCCCGGCCATCTTCAATAGTTGAACGAGGGTATTGGACCGATCAAGGCATGCGGAAAATTTCCTCAAAGGCGGATTCTTTCAGCAGTTTCGGATTTTTGAAAAAGTAAAAGTTTATTATTCGCCTTTGGTGGTTGGTGAATGATTGATATGGTTTATCTAGTTTAGCTTTATCTGTATCGGTTTGGTTGGATTGTACCTTTTAGCAGTACAAAAGCTTTAAAGTTGGTGCGGATTGTAGATGTAGAAAATTGGTCAAAATGGTTGTTGCGTAATTTGTTCGGGAATCGCATTCGATATCTGGGCTACCTAGGAACTGCTATGGTTCATACTTAGGACTACCATTCAACTTAGATACCCTCATCCGTTACCCGGCCAGTATCAATGAATGATGTCAAATTAACCTTCTCCTGAGCCGGTTCACACTGCCATCAGGACCTTTTGATGGAGTTCTTGTCTTTTAAACTTGATCTGGCCCGCCATGGCAGTGAACTAATTTTGGCGTTTGTCTCTTGAGTTTTGCAGTTATTCTAACCGATCCGAAGAACTGACGAAGTTAAGTGGCAGAAGGTGTACATTTACTGATGTTAGCACGTAAGGTTGTTTCATTTCTGGTTGAATTTCGATTTACTTCAGACTAAATTTAGCCTACACCACAGTTTGGCCAGGTTGCGGGACTCTCTTCACAAGTTTTCATGGGCACTGTCGTTCAGATGTCGTGGTTTTGACGTGCCCGTAACTTGGAGCTCAAGTTAGAATTCGTTATTTTCTGTTTAAGTGATACATCTGATCGATCCAATTCCGGGTCCACTGTTGTAGAATGCTAAGTGGTAAACTCGTGGGTGAGTGACAAATGATGAAGGAGACGTATATTGAAAATTGGATTGAGATTTGCCTCAGGATAGGGAGAGTAGAGTCTAGAGAGACTTGGGAAGTTGAGTTAAACTAGGGAGGGCCAGGTCAGAAAAAAAAAAAAGGCGACATGCGTGAGGCAGTTGATTTGGATTTGTTCAAAGTGCTAAACGGGCCATGTCTTGAATCATGTTAGAGCTGTTGGTGGAGTTTGAGGAATGAAGGGCGTGATTGTGTTTGTCTAGGTGGATCGTGTTGCAGCAAGCGCTGGTGAGCAGAGAAGTTAGAGTGTGAGAAGTTTCTGAGGAATTCCTTGATAGTGGACATCGTGTCGGTGATACGATAATTGCAGCAATGGGGGATTGGCAGGAGAAAATGCAGACCATTATCATAGGTTTTGTCTTCACGTGCATGGTGGTGATGCTGTTTTCGGTGATATCCTCTTTCCGTGCTGGAAATTTGCGAGTAGCACGAGAGACAGATGATGAGGTTCCGCTACTCGTGCCTTCTGAGGCTGCGGAACTTTCACCTGCTCATGAACAAAATACTCCTCTTGTCGCGACTGATGAGGAAACAGAAGCTGATGGAGATAGCGAACTAGAAGATAGTGCTCATGACTTTTCGAGTTTGTCTTCCCCTGATTCCGAAGTCGAGACCGATGCTACAGCAGCCTGTAGTCCTCGTGAAATTGATAGTGCCATCAATCCTACTGTTTCAAAGGTGGAGTCTAAGGATAATAAAGTAGACGCTACGAAGGATGAATTAGCAGAATTTGAGAAAGATGAGGGTGCAGAAGATGAAAATATTGAAACGAAGCATGTCAGTATATCAGGCGAGCATTCTTTGAAATCCTTGGTACGTTTTTTGAATCATCTCCTCCATTCCATCTCACGTCTTTTGTCGGTTGATTTGAGTTCAATCCTCCTTCCTGTGCATTGATCCTCAAGGCATCTTGTCTGTTCGATATTTTTCGTGTGGATATGGTATGGAGATTTTTCTCGGCGATTAGTACGCGACAACTTGGGATAGTCTGTAAACAATGTGGTCAACTTAGTTCAACCTTATTGAGTACTACCTGATGACAGGGTCTCAGGTCTTGTTTACTTGTACATACTTGAAAGTTTTATTCTGGCATTTAGTGGACATTCTTCAGAAGTGAAAAGTGTTGGTTTAAATATTTATGCACACCAGCAACAGGAATTTCAGATGCGGGTTGATCTTTGAAGTGTGGTTTAAGTAGACCTACTTTTTAAATTTTATATTGGACCAAGTAGTTAGGATGTAGTATTGGAATTTTAAGAATCTTTGGGATATGAGATTTTTTTTTGAGGTGCTTGTAAAAAGAGTGAATGTAAAAGTTGACTATAATTAATTACTTGAAGAGTCGAGGTGGAGTTTCTGAAATTGTAGTTTCTAAAAAAATTAAGAATAAAACAGAAATATAAAAACCCATGATGGCTTTGGGAACTTATCTTTGAAGCTTTTTGTTACTAATGAAGTTCGAAGCTGTGCAATCCTGGTATAAATTTGGGCATTTTTTTAACTGCCATTGGGAGCGAATTTTAGGTGCAATCTGCATTAAATGCACCATGGAAGTATGTTTAGGATCCTAAGATTTTTCAGCATTATCATAATGTTCCATCTTTCTAACAGAGATTTGCTAGATCACTAATTTCAGAATGCAGAATCCTTCAAAATGCACATAGTAAGAATTACACCTACATGGCATGTGGGATTGCACAGATTTGGACAAAAAGGTTCGCCATCTCTTTAAAAGCAAGTGATGCCCTCGCTGCTAATGCAAATCTTGCCAAGTTGCGTCTCTAAAATCTTGAATTTGGTCATCGTTTCTGCAGAATGAACAGGCCAATGGTGATGTTGAAGATGAGCTGGAGGTGTCTCGGAGTGCAACGGATGATTGGGAGGCCATAGAAAGCACCGAACTTGAGAAACGTTTTGGGGCTGCTTCCACCTATGCAAGTACAATGGTTGTTTCACCGAATGTGAAGTCTTCAAGCGAGGCATTGCTACAGTTGTATGCCTTCTACAAAATAGCCACTGAAGGCCCTTGCTCTAATCCACAGCCATCGATTTTGCAGCCGACTGCCCGTGCCAAATGGTAAATCCTCTATGCTTTAAAAATCATAGTTGGAAGTGGAGTTTTTTTGCAATTAAAGGGCAACGACCAACCGGATTATCAAGAGTGGCATAGATCTGGGATTTAAGAATTTGTCGGAAAAACTGCAGTCGCAGGTTTTGACAAGTATGTGGATCAAATGCACTTGCAACTTGCCAATATGTTCAAAATTGTTTGCTTCGATAACATGTCAACACTAAATTTTTGTTTGACGGAATAGCCTGAAGTATGACATTATTGATAACTGATGGTAGTAGGCCATTGTGACATAAGCGCTTTGGCATCCAAATTTGAATGTAGAGAATATTGTGGTTGTTTCTATTTTTTGCAAGGAATGAGTGGCAGAAGCTTGGAAGTATGCCTCAAGAAGAAGCTATGCAGAAGTACATCGCTGTTTTGACCGAGGTCAATTCTACTTGTTATGAAACCTACCAGAAGGTAGGTATCTCATATCAGTAATATTTGAAGCATGTATTGTATTTTCTCCTTTTTTAGGGATTTGTCTTTATACAGTTTCTCAACGCAGATAGTCATGGGTCAGAGGTTCGTTTAGCATTTACTTTATGTCATGGATATGTAGAGCTGTTGGGTATTGTTAGCGAACATACTTTGATATGATTGGTCAGTTATTAACTGCTGAGTTTTGACGAAGTTTCACTGAGTGCATGCAAATCGAGCAGAGCAAAGAGCCCGCAAGAGTAGTGGATCAAAATGATCGGGACAGTTCAGTCAGGTGGTGAGATGGATGCATTGCCAGGGTTGAGCAAGCTAATCACGAGTGGAGGAGGACAAGAAGAGGACGTTTTCACTGCAGCTGTTTCCTCAAAGTAGTGATTATGAGCAGTGAATTGAGACCTCTATGACCAGTACCAACCTAAAAAAACGTTTTTCTTTTGGACCTAATGATTATACTGCATATGATTTTGCAATCACAATCCAAAATGATTACATCATTTGCAATTTTCGGTGTCTATGTAGTACTTTGGAAACTGGATGCCGAGTTGTTTGTATGGACGAGCAATTCTCAACAGCCTTACTGAACCAATAGTTTTGTGGTGGGATACTGCTCTGATCCTGACCTTCATGAGCATGTCTAGTTTCTAGACTCTGTTCATTGGAATGGTATGCCAATATTGGCCATGCTTGTCTTTTTGCAGCATTGTGGAGTCAATTCACGTGTGTGTAATAGAAGGTGACTTAGAACATCTTAGAGAACTTACTGACTTGGGATCGTCTATTGATACGAAAGGTGTGTCTACTTTCTGTTTTTCTGACCACAGCTGAATTCTCTGTCAATCCTGATCGAGAGAACATTCGGGTACAGCGAGTGTCATTACACTATGCCCCGGTATAACTAATTTTAGTCCGCACATTCACTCTTTGAGAACGTTTGCAACGTTCATTCCCTGTCCAAGCACGCTTGAATATGGTTTGACGACGGTGCTGTTACATGCAGATGGCGATGGTCGCACGCCGTTAATTTTGGCCGCAAGCCGTGGAGAGCTAAATGTAATGAAGATACTCATAGCGAAGGGCGCAGAGATCCACAAAAAGGTAACTGTGGTAGTTCTCAAAACTTCATCTGGTGCGGGCATTTTGACTTTCATGCTACCTCATCACACTCTCCTCGTCATAAACACTGCGAGTTTTTGAGGGACGGACAGCACTGAATCATGCAACACTTCATGGGCAAGAACCAGCCCCTAAGTACCTCATTCAGCATGGGGCCGATGTTAATGCTGTTGACAACGATAGAACTAGTCCTCTCAAACTTTGCCCACCGCACTGGTTATGGCTGCAAGGCTCTGCAACCTCACAAGATCGCCTTCAAGTCGTTCCCGAAAGGTGCAATCAACAACTGCTAAATAGCCGTATCAAAATTGATCGGTGTCAAGGATCAGTTTAGCACGAAATGAATCCCGAATTGATCCGCATCATTGTGTGCGATGCGTCTACTTGGAATTTGGAAATTTTCGTAATAATATTTCTATGGATGACGAAGGATTCCTAGACCATCTAAAAGGGAAGATAACTTGTAGGATGTATAATTCTGTTTATACGTGATTTACGTCCATTTTTAAGGGTGCTCGACATTTTACATATACACGGTATTTTCTATGGAATAAACAATGAGTAGAAATCGTTTCCTTGCAAACTCAGCTCAACGTATTTTCGTCGATCGTTCACACAGGTCAAACATCCTGAAGAAGCATTAAAAACCTGAACAGTACACTATTCAATCATGAACGTGGTATGAATGGAATCATTTACAAGAACGTGGGTACGAACGAAATCATTCACAAGAACGTGGTCGTAAAAATGCGTTTATTGAGGTCTTGCAGACTGGGAATAGCTGCTTGGAAGATTGGTGCCCACGGTCAGAGGCCCCGAGTAACTTGCGGCAGAGAGATCGAGCAACTTGACATAGGTATTGAGACTCACTCCTTTCTTACCAGTCAGAGATTCGGTAAACAACAGTTCCTCTTTTTTCTACTTCACAAACCTGCCAAGTATGGCTTGAAACAAGGCGACTTCTTTTGTTTGGCTTCCCATTAATATAATTTGAAACATCTGAAGCCTCAGGACTGAAGATTGATTCATGTTCATCACTATATCCTCACGGTTTGAGGTGCTGGTTGATTCCAGAGAAGCTATCTTATCGAAGAAAGTCTCGTGGTCCACCTTCGAAAATCTAGATTATGATCTTGTGATGATGTTAAAAGACAATTAAACAAATCAATCGCTTGTGAAGATGAACGGTCAAGCCAACGCATATGACTATCTGCCGGTAGACCACCCCTTGCGTGTTAGAGATGGACGCGCTATCTCAGACACTGTGAAACCCCGAAAAAGTTTCAACGCTGGTTGAAAGAAAGTTAGCACCCTGGTAACAGTGTGAAACTAGTGATAGGTACAGTTGAGGTGGACACAACCCATTTCATGTTTTTATTCAGGAATTCACAAACCAAAAACTGGTTCCGGTTTAGCCGTGAACGCTAAGTTACAGAAATCTTCAATCGACAACACAATCCATTAAATGGGTTCTCCTCACGACATCCATCATTCGAGTCGTATAAGTCCAAGGCCTACAGCGATGTACCTGGTGCTTGGTGGCAGCTAAGTAAAATTAGGTTAATTAAACATAGGCAGATTACACCTGTAATGATTGTCACCGGAGAGAACCACGAACATTCACAATTATAATTAAAATAACTATCACCAACAATCCACCTAGAAACGTCATCACAATCCAAGTAACGGGTGATCTATAATGCTCTCGAAGCATCGTCTTCGGAGCGGCACCGGGAAGTCAACGTATACCATGAACGTTCGGTCCTCTTCACAAGTCTGCGCTGTTGCAACTGGCTCCGGAGACTCCATTGTGCAAACAGTGCTGAGAATTTTAGAAAGGGTATGCGAAAATTGGTTGCAAAATCATCGTAGCACAGGCCTGCTCGTGTCAGCCATTCACCACAGAAAGCAACTCAAAGGCAGAGTATACTTCAATGTGTGCTCGACTAACAATCTTGTATGGGAAACCGGTCAATAGTAAGGTGCACATTCAGTCGGTGAGATACAGTCGAAGCCAACTGTTGTTGACAAACGCGACGGCGAAGCATCACGGTTAACTGGAATCTAGAAGCAGCTTCTGTGCAAGTTACCTATTCCCTGAATTATGGAGTGACGTGACCTTGATTCAGTCTGGATCATTTGATTGTCGATTGCTTGGAGACGCTCGTTTTGGTCAAGGTAGGTAGACAACTCATTTCCAATAACTTAAGCATTTCAGCATACATGTATACAGTACATGTAAAAATAGAAAAAAATAGTAAAATTGTGTGTCCAAAAACAGAATTTATATAAATGTTTTAGCTAAAGATTATCTTCTCTACTCTATACTGGACATATAGGCCTATTTAATTCTGACCAACTGTAGGTTATAAAATGAAGAATCCAACTTTTTCAAAACCATGATGTGTAGCATTTGTTAATCTACCAAACTTCACCAAATTTTGTACTACTTACAAATGCAAATGTGTGGATGAGGCAACAAAAATTCAAATATTGTATTGAGAGTAATTCACTATAATTGAGTTGGATTTTTGCCACCATTCTTTCTTGTTTTTGCTCAATTCCAAACAATATCTTACACATCTTCTATCTTCCAATTTTGCTTCACCAACTCCCTAATTTATCAATGCATAATCAACTGCTATTTATGTATAATTCCACTGATGCAAAAATTGATTTAAATAGTTTATAAAAATCTATTCTAAGTACAATGTATTGTTTATATTGCTCACAATTTAACATCATTTTTGCTATGTCCTTAACCTATTTCCAACCACAAAATATTAGAAATAGTTAACAATAGGTCACCAATTTAGTGAAAATATCCCACCTTATAGATTAGAAATAGAGAGGTAGTTGACAATGGATTGGATATCTTAATGTTTTCTTTTCCAAGTTGTATGAAAATGAAGTAGTTAAGTTTAGTGTATTTGAGTTGTATATAAGATCACTATTTTAGCAAATCACAATAGTTTTGTATTAATTGTTTTGATTGAGTAAGTTAACTTTGGCAGCATTGTTTAAGTATGCCAAATTAATTTAGCAAAAATTGCTAAAATAAATATTGAATTGAAAATACATATAGACGTATGTGAATATAGCCTTTGGACACTAAGCTCCATACTAATAGCTCCAATGTCAAATACTCAATAATTATGTATTAATCATAAATAATATAAATATTATTTAACAATGCATTATAGGAAAAATTCTTATGAATTTCAAAGATTATGCCATAAAAATCAAATTTCTTTCAAATATATTCGAGTAAGGACAAAAACAATAATAATAATGCCTCAACTATGAAATAGCTCACAAATAACATTTAGGCTTTAATTTGATACTTCTATATGAAAATTTAGAATCTCAAGATAGATTACCATAAAGATTAATGTCGGGATGACTTAAATTGAGTATGGAACATAAGCCAATGCCTTGCATTGAGACCTCCATAACCATCACAATAAGTAGTTGTTAAATAGTATATATATATATATATATATATATATATATATATAAGTGTATCATGAAAAAACTTTGTAATGTCATTAAGAAAATGAATGATGAACTAACATACACAAGAGGATTAGTTGCATAATATTATAAGGTTGGTAGCTAATCTACAAAGCTTATAACATTCATAGATTAATTTTAATTGAAGCTTTTTTAACAATATTAATACTTGTGCTTATTATCTATCATATTATTAGTAAATTATCTCTAGAAATGCCCAATTTATAGTATATATCTTTCTTATTGAGAATATATATTGATAATATAATATTTTAAATAATATAAATAATATTATTTATATTTATATTTAAATAATGTATAGACTATAATTTATATGTATACAACTTATAAATTAGTCCAAGGCTTATGGAACAAGTTTTTTATTGATTAACAAGTTAGACTTCATGACCAAGGAGGCTATAAAGATAATCTATATAACTAACAATAAGATCCAATTAAATTTATAATTTTAAAGATTAAGATGTCTAAACAATACTATGGGAGTAGTTCAATTTTAATGTCATTATAATTTAATGATCAATTTATTCAAGTATACAAAAATATGGTATAATTTCTTTATTTAAGTGAACATTGGTACATAATAACAATTGACTGCAATTCAAACAAGAGTTGCTTCATATATCATTTGTTGATCACATCAAGTAAAATGCCAAACCAAATCAAGGTCTTACATATATACATGAAATTATTATCATGCCTTGTTGCATTGACATGCTTGACCATCTTTGTTGCAAATTTAAGAAAGAATGTCTTGTTGAGGTTCTTGATAGCTTTCAACACATTTGTGCAGATGCTATTTTTTATGGCCTTGAACTTGTATTGCTTTCACATATTTATCCAAGCATCTTTGATCT